AACCGCTTGTCACTAATTTTCTCAAATTCGTGAGATGTAATCGTGATGTGCTCAAACTGCCTCAAACCGTGACTTTTAGATAATCGCAGAGTTTAGTCATCGTTAGGATTCTGGGCGATCCAGCAATTTGGGCGACGACTCCTTCGTTCTGGGCGTCCATAAGGCATTTTACTCGCTCAACATCTGGGTGTTCTGCAAACTTGGGGGACAATGTTCCTTTGTTTGTGGGCTGATTCCCCTTTGTTTGGGCTTTCATCTCGGATTCTCAACTAGGCTTCGTTCTTTGGGCCATTTAATTTGAGCTGCACTTTTAGTGTGTCAACACAAGTGATTGGTGCAAAAAAAATTATTTACTTTTTTTAGAAATTGGCCAATGTCATGTCATTCTGTCAAAGAAGGTTGCAAATCTATCCGATAATCTAGCATGGTTGAAATTATTTCTTAGTTCATAATTACAGAAGTCTACTTCTCAACGATGTGTCACAATTTACAGCAACGTCCCAAAGGAGTAGAACTTTAAAAATCTTCCGTTGAGAGACATCATCACATGGGTCCGCCTGCCCATTTAGCTCTCGCTCAAATCAGATTATGGCTCTTAATGAACAACTAAACCAAATGATCGAAATACAACATTATTTTTGAAATAAACTTGTAAAAGTTTCAAATACAAAGCTCTACTCACGAAAATTTTGCCGTCTTTAAAGAATTCTTTGTGGTGTTAATTATACCCAAAATATCTGATATCAATTGTTGGGAATTCAAGGATCACGTATTGCTTGATATCACTTGATATGAAACCAATCACCGGATTGATATGTTGAAGTTATATGGCACAATAATGAAGTATTTGATCACAAGCAAAAGAATCAAAGAAGATAATAAAATATGGCAGGAAAATTAGGAAATTTTATTGACTCATGAATAAGAATTGAGAAATATATAATATCCTAACAGCTAGTAATTACTTTTCTCACACTTATTCTCACACACCATAAAATTTTATAAAAGAGCCTAATATTTATAGGGAATATGTAGGGGGCGTTCAAACCCTCATACTAAAATTGTTGATGAAATAGGATACCAAAAATCGAGTCCAAAATGAAAAATGAGAGAAAAACACGAAAATTTCGAAAGAAACAGGCACCACATCCGGGCGCCCCGACGCCCAGGGCAAAAAAATGAAGCAGGGGCACTGGTGCTGCGGCACCCATGGCCGGCGCTGGGCGTTCGGCCGTCTTCCCTTTTTTATTTTTTCGTTCTTATGGTTTTCTTCATCCTAAATTCTTTTTCTAAATTCTTTTTCAAGTCCAATACTAATTTTCAACTTCTAATTGGCTTTCAAAATAGAACTTCAACTTAACATAAGAATCTAATAGCATTCCAAACTGAATTCTTATTGAAGTGCAGTTCAATTAAAATTTTTCAATTATTTCAACAAGGAATTCGGTTCACACCCAAATTCTAACATTCTTTGGTGGATATTTCACCATCTAGTACAACTACTGAGTTTTTGTAACTAGCTGCACATCACTGATGAATATTTGACAGCTAATTATGAGTATATATGGCATTTGTTCGACCTCTAATTAGGAAATTGATTTTATTTTTTACTTCTATTTACTTAAAATAATATAATAGTTATCAAATAGTTCAATAACTCACCATCCTCTCATTCTTGCAATGTCCAGAGAAGGCACAACTCATTTCACATGGAATTAGGTCTGTATCTGAGAGAGAACTTGTATGGAAGTCAATTTTTGTATTAGGGTCCAATTAAGTCAACCATAATTGATTCAGTAATTTATAATATAAATTATTTATTCAATCATTACAGTTAATATATAGTTCATATACATGAGTTCCTATTAAATATAAAATGAGATCTACCCACAATTTGTGAGATTTCATTTCATTCTTTTTCGTGTAGATATTATATAAATAAAGAACACAATATCACAAGAAGAAATTTTATTTTTAATTATAAAAAATATTATCGTAAAAGTCATTGTTGAGTTCATAAGTCAAAAAAATGTGCGATGAACGTTTTCTTCAAGCAAATTGACTACAGCTCGACTAGTCTAGTGGGACGAGCCAAGCTTGATAAGTTCCGTGTTACACTCATAGAAGCAAGCATGGAACATGAAATTAACCTTAATATAGGCTCATACCTCAGTAAGCCATGCACGATACCTACAATGAATTTCAAATATGTAACAAAAGCGTGTTAGACATGCTAATACAACTATGTTCACTTCAAATTCTGAAGACTTAACTTCAAGTTCTCTATAAAACGACTTTTCACATATATCATCGATTTAATTCCCTTCATTAATTTTGTCTAGTTTGACGAAAATGCATAGATATTTCAAAATCCATCACCAAAGGAAGAGAGAATTTGGTAATACTTATATTGAGAAAATGATATATTTTCAGAAATCGAAAAGTCACTTTTATCCTTAACAATTATAATAAACTTTTTTTATTAATTAATTTATTATTAGTACAAGAGTGATGCGATATTATTTCATTTAAAAACTCTTTTTTTAATCTTTGTAAGTAGTCAAATAGAATAAAATTCTTAGAGAGTACTGGATCACAAGAGATCACAGCAATCACAATAGTATATATATAGTTGACCATGTTTGCGCGATGCGTAATGCATGGCCCTTCAAATCTGCATTACTAATAGCTCTCGTCACATGACATCAAATCAATGCACATCAAGAAAACTGTTTCGACGATTTTGTAATAGATCAATTTTAAAGGTGAATTCTAATAATTTTTTTGAATCTATAGGAGGCTTAACTTGTATAAGCATATATATTAGCCCACTTTTTACCAATCGATTTTAAGTTTCTTTAGGCGAGATTTTTGTAAAGTCAAAAATTAATTTTG